GATGAATTTCACTAGTTCGGACTTCCATTGTCTACTATAAAAAATGATTTGAAATCCCTGAAACAACTTAAACAGAAAAATCGAAATGAATAGCTGAAAATAACAATTATATTAAGCGAAAAAACCTCTGAAATGAAATTACGGTGAAATAAAATACAAGTAAAAGATAGAACAATTTAACAAAAAATGAAGTAAAGTGAAAAATTAAGAGATTATATTTTTTACTTGTATTTCATTTCACTATAATTACATTTAAAATATGTTTTTCCGTTAATCAGCTGTCGCCCTCATACGAACGACAACTCTCAGAAGTTGAGGAACTTGTGCAAGCTAAGGACTAACGAGGTCTTATCTTTTAACGTGTGATTCCTAACACGTTTGATTGCTTAATATAATCGATTTTTTCAGTTATTCTTTTTGATTTTTCATTTTAATTGGTTCTTTTAAGGATTTCAAATCATTTTATATAAAATTAGACAATGGAAATCCAAGGTAATGAAATTCATCATGAAACATAGTCAATCATCTGCGAACAAATGATGAATTGAAAATGAATAGAATTCAAAATACTAATGACTGACAGGCAATAGTGGAAGTGCAGGAGCTACCATAGTAATCATTCGCAAAGAAAAAAAAAAGAGAAGAGAAGTGAAAAATGTTCTGAACTGCACTTGAGATTGAATTGTCATTCTCTTGACTAGCTCTTTCAATCCTTTCCTTGATATACAATGTCACACATAAAGTTCGCGACAAGTAGAAATTTCTTCTATTGATAGATATAATGAAAATTTGACTTCGCAGTTTTGTCATGTGCTACACTGAACCTGTTAAATTCCACATTTTATTCGAAAATCCTCAAAAAATCTGTTTTTTTGTAAATTTCTGAAATGCAAAACAATGGCTCGATTTCCAATTTTATACTCTTTCATGAAATTTGTACTCTCTACTGCCACTTCGACTTTTTCCATTTTTTTAAATTTTTCGAATCTTTCGCCCTATCGATTCGAAAGAAACATGATTCAAAATTCATATCTTCGATGTCATATCTTGCCCAGAAAATATCCGCATTGTCCAGAAAAAGGAATACCAGTGAGGATGCCAGTGTTCTATGTAAGTGCAAAGTGTTACCATTCATTTAAAGTAGAACTCATGTGAATGATATCTGATTTTTATTCCACAACGAATGTTTGAAATACAAACTGAGTAGAGAAAAGTAGCTTCTGTATAATTCAGTGTTCATAAAGAAGTATTTGTTTCGAAAGAAATCGATTGTTAATATCCACAATCGTCTTCGGGTCATGACTGACCTAATTCCTCTGAGAGATGAATTTTAATGGGTCATTCGAGTACATTCACTTATCTCCGCTTTCCTCTTTCCGCTCCACTGGTTTAGCGGGAGATCACCGTTTGGCGGGAGTTGGACTTTTTTCGCTTGATTATGGGTTTCCATATGTTGTCGTCAACGTATCTCAACCAGACTCGGGGTTTCTTCTGGGCTTCTTCAATGGCCAGAGTTTCAAAACACTCCATATATATATATATATTGGCTATGACTGGTGAAAGTGGCGATCCCATTGGCTGTCCTTCATCTTGTGTAAAGAATTCGTCCTTCATTTGGAAATAACAATTTCGTATACAGCATCCTAGTAATTCCATAATTACTTCTTTAGGTAAGTTCGTTCTATCTTCCAGGTTTCCGTTTTCAGATAGCTTCCTCTGTATGATTTGGAGTGCTTCTTCGACCGGAACGTTGGTGTAAAGGCTTTCCACGTCGAAACTGATTAGTTGATCTTGCTCTGTGACGAGGCATTTTATCGCACTACGAGGGGCAATACGTTGACGACACCTTCTTAATATGGAACCATGGGAATACTGAACTAGACGCCTTCCTGAAACATCAACAGCGTAAGATCTTCCATCATTATCACAATGGAAAAGGAAGTCCTCAACGAATTGCCATTTTTAGACGTATTGGTGAAAACCGGCACTAAGTGGGAAACCGTCCCACTCACACGGGATAGTATCTAAACCACGAATCCAACCACCATCAATCGACTAAAAGAGGAATCATCAAGACTCTATTAGATCGTGCTTTCGGGCTCTGTAATACGAAGGATGGTCTCGAGAAGGAAGTAGACATCATCAAGAAGGATCTTCAACGGAATGGCTACTCCAAAGCGATGGTGGAACAGACTTTGGCTGAAAGACAGCAGGAACCTTGCAAGGAAGAGAAGCCGTCACAACCAATGCTTTCACTTCCCTACATCAGAGGATTATCGAAAATGATAAGAAGAATTGGATCCAAGTACAACATCAGAACCTGCTTCAGATCCGAAAACACTATCCGTAGCAGCCTCACGAAAACCAAACCACCAAACGAGGACTGCGATTCCAAGAATTGCATTTACTGGATACCCTGTGAGTGCGGAAAATCTTATATCGGGAAAACTAAAATGCCATTGAAAGTTCGCATTGCCGAGCACAAGAAACACACAAAGCGAGGAGAAATAAGTAAATCAGGAATATCAGAGCATGTTTAGACCCATCAAGATGACATCGAGTGGTCCCAAGCTGAGATTATACACAGGGGGGAACATTGGTTTCGGAGGATATTCAAAGAAGCCACATGCATGTTGTCAAACAATGCATTCAACCAAGCTAGCGTAGAGATACGCAACATATGGAAACCCATAATCAAGCGGAAAATGGCCAACCCCTGCCAAACGATCATCTCCCGCCAAACCGGTGAAGCGGAAAGAGGAAAGCGGAGATAAGTGAAAGTATTTGAATGACCCATAAATAGTCATCTCTCGGAGAAATTAGTCCAGTCATCACTCGAAGACGTTTGTGGATACTAACAATAAGTAGGTTGACTACCGTGATGAGTTTTTATTAGAAACCTAGATTTTTTACACGCTTTATATCAGTTTCACGTGTATGCATGTATGTATATATGAGAGAAGGGTATTGAGTGGATAAGGTATTATCAATGAGAAAGAATTCTTTGGACAAGCACTCATTCGAATGTGGGCAAACCGCAGACACGTGTTTCTGGCTATTTAGCGTTCGTCAGTACGGTACAGCCAAGTGCAAAGGATAGACAACACTTGGTTGCAAGAAAGGGATCGAAAACAACATACGGATTTGTTGTGCTTATCCAAATAATTTTTTATCATTGCTAATACCTTATCCACTCAATATCCTTCTCTCATGTTTGGTTTTTCTTGGACTTGTTGGACTTGGACAGTTCCACAATCGTTAAAAAATAAACTAATTATCATTGTAAAGGTTACTGTGTTCAAGAATGTCCGTCATTGCCAGGGTCAAAGTCAAGAATATGTCAATAAATGAAGAGTTTATATTCATTATAACTATTTTCGAATATTAAAGATAGCAAATATTCCATTTATTCGAATTTCAAATTTTAGATTCGGTCTGTGCGATTTTTCATACACCCACTACTAGAAATTGATCTCGTTTCGTTTTCATTGACCTACCCTGTTCAGTCATTTATACAGGTAATGACTGTTCTCAACAAAAAATTGTTCATTTTGTATTTTTGATTTTACCACTTCCAATCGATAGTTCAACAATACATTTTTCTTTTCAGATCTTAATGATAAAATCCAAAGCCTCTTCGCAAATAACACCAGCATATGTCAAAAAATTAATGGAAAATTGAAAGAATTCGAAGAAGAACAGAAAAACACCAACCCTGATTCTGCCGAAGGAAGAATAAAATCTATCCAGTACAACACACTCAAAACAAGATATATAAAAATTTTCAGGCAGAGCAATGCTGAACTGGAAAATTTTAGGAATATTCAAAAAGCAAATTTGGAGGCACAACTTAGAGCCAAAGGGATACGAGTGACAGACGAAGAACTTGTATCTCTCTTAGAAGATAAGACCGACATTCAAATTTTCACAGAGAATGTAAGTGTACGAGTATGAAGCAAAAATCTCGAAATCAATTTTTGAAGGAGACCTAGACCTACGGATGTCATCGCCCCATCTGCCTGTGAACGAGGTAACCAACCGCATATCCGAAATTTGCCCAATTCCTCGTATAAGTAAAAAAAATCACATATAGTCAGTGGGCATACTTGAAGACTGGCTATAAATCAAATCATCTTAAGGAACAATTCGTTTTATGTTTTATGAGCAAATTTACTGAAGATTGTGGTAGTTGGATATCTGTTACAAATTATTCTAGTAACTTTATTTGAGCTAGTTTCTTCATAACTTTATATATGTTTTTCGGCTCTCCTGAAAATCTAATGTTTATTATTACAATAGGAGCATAGTTTTTCTATGTTGATATGAGTTGTTGTTTCCATGAGCTCCAATTTCAATGAATATTACCTACTGGAGTTTTTTCCCCAACACAAAACCGTTATTTTAACACCCCGACACGTGTTTCGATCTCCAAATGATCATCTTTAAGAGAAAAATGGTGTTGGGAAAAAAATCCAGTAATATTCTTTACTACACCAAAGGTTCCAAACAGTGCATCGCAAGTCCAATTTTAAATATTATTTATGATGTTGCTTCGTCTACTAGCCAACTTTTCATATTATTTGAATGAACATTTAATTTTCGGTGTTTGCATGGTGATGAAATACTGATTGGAGAAGAATTTCAATATTATCAGCAGATTTGAGATAAATATAGTTACATACCTCAGTTGTTTCAATTATATTGGGATTATTTAATTCGTTCCATTTCTTTATGTTCTGTATGTACTCTATATATGATGGTGGTATGGCTGGCAACACTTTTAGGACGTCTACTGTCTGTGGTAGTATTTCTATTTAATGAAAAATCTTCTCCCACATAGCGTGACTACACTCTCTCAGAGAGAATATTCTATTTTTTATCGACCTTTTTTGGTTAATTGTTACCTTCCACAATCTGAAAAATATAAAAATTATAATGGAGAACTTTATAAAAGTAAGTGTAGAAGGGCAAACTTTTATGTTTACCCGATAAAAAACTGATTTTTCCTTCACAAAAAATTACTTTCGTTGAATAGAATATTCTAGTTCTGGTATGCGATAGAAGTGTTTCTATTCGATTCATTTCAAGTTGAAGATTCCGATTCAACTTGCCAAGTTGGCCATTTGCTCTCCCCTTACATCACGTGTTAACTACATTGAAGGGTTGATGTTACTCCAGATATCAGTATAGATATGGAAAGCGATTCATGTTTTGCGGTTCGATGAATGCAATCAGTCAATTTTCTTTTATCGTATCCTTCTGAAGACCGACCAGCATTTAACTATTGCGCTCTCTTTTGTGATTGACTATAAACCTAGAAGACGATAACTACCACATTAAAAAAACAATCCAATTCAACACTTAAAAAGAAAAAGTGGCGCGTTAGTACACCAATGGTTGAATTTCAGCTAGTAGTGTACGAATACACTAGAAAGATCAATCTATAAAAAAAAGTTATCAGTTACATTATGGTGAAATACTTTTAATCGTACAGCTCAGTGGGTTCTTGAAAAAATAGTATAAACAGATAAATAAATTTGAATATACTTGATGAAAATCAATAACGTATTCAAGAAACACTTAATTGTCTTGAGGCGTGTCTATATGTATAGCTATTTTTTTTTCTCAAAAATTACCACTTAAAATATTATAAACTGATATACTAATTCACTTATTACTATCGTACTGACTGCCTCACTGAAGGGCGAAATGTCTAGAATATTCGTAATCTCCGCCCCTGCGAGGACCTTTTCTCGATTACTTCCAGTACTATACAGGGTGAGTCAACAAGATTTCGTCGGTCCATTGCTATCAGAGGAATCAATTTTTCACTAAAGAATATTCATATTGCTTTTTTCTTCAACAACCCAGTCATCCATGACTGACATCAAAAAATGAATCTCGGAATTTGTCAACAACGCCATGTATTGAAGTTTCTTTCGCGTATAGATTAAATCATTTTCATTATGAATTATGTATTGGAAGATATGGTGCAAATGGTCTATGCTTAGGAGGAAAGTGAAGGAAACTGCTTCCTTGCATTTAGGATTTACAAAGAGAAGTTCCCCGAAAGAAGACAACCAGATGAAGAGGCATTTCAGGCTCTAAAAACAAGATTTGAAAGGACTGGTTATGTCAGTCACGAGAAGTTCGAACATGCCTGCCCTGTAACACATGAAGAAAATACATTTTAAATTTCTCTTCACCTTGTTGAAAATCCCCATATGAGTACCCGAGACCTGAGCAGGAAATTAGGATTTCTCAAACCAGCAAGCGAATTTCATCCTGACCATATGCAATTGTTGCAGGAAGTAAGAGGAAGAGATTTTGAAAAACGTGTTCAAGTTTGCCCTTGGGGCTTAGAAAAGATCAATCAGAAAAATGATTTGTTCGTCTTATTTTTTGATGAAGCCACTTTTCATAAAAATGGAACGGTGAATCGGCATAACATGCATTATTATGTAACGGAAAACCCCCATTTTGTTTGTTGCCTGAACCATCAACAGCGTTGATCACTGAATGTTGGAATGTGGCTACAACAAGACGGTGCAACACTACATTTCAAAACGACCACCCAATTCACACGACCTAACCAAAATGGATTTTTTTATGGAAATATATCAAATGTCTACCAAACTCCTCCAACATTTACGAAGAATCACTAGAGTTTTTAGAGAAATCCCAGAGGATATTCTGGAAGGTGTAGACATTATATGTTGCAGAAAATGGTCGCCATTTTGAACATCTTTTGAACTCATCTATTCAATAAAAAATGTTGGCGTTATTGTTCATATTGAAAAAATTTTGAGTAAGTGAACGTAAATAAATGAATTTGTTGTGGTTACAACAATTAATAAAACTGGGTATAATTTGCGAAATATCTTGTTTTTCGTATAGTTTACCTGGGATAAAAATGTAGTGGAATGTTGAAACATTTCATACAAATGAAAAAATATTGGGTGTTCTCTTTGAAAAAGTTGAATAATGTCTATTTGAAAATGAATAAAACTTGACCGGTTTCATCGAGCATCCTACATATTGTTTCCGAAAATTGATATTCCCGAAATTATTATAGTGATGTTGTTAGTTATTCCTAAAAAAATCCACTTAATTGCTGTAGACATGCGGGTGGTGAATTAAAAAAATATTGTCTGCAAAATAGTTTTTTCTGGAATAACTTGGCAATGCCGCAATAGATATTCGAAAACAAAAATTCCTTAGTGAGTTAAAAAACATGGAATCGTATTCATATACTGGGTGTTTCATTTAAAAAATATTACTTTGGTTGGCCATGCTCGGCTGAATCACAGTAAGCGGGAAAATAATTTTAAAATTTATCGACATGACTACGAAAAAAAAAGAGCAATTCGAAAAAATGTTTTCTCTAATAGCAATGGATCGAGGGGATCTTGTTGACTCACTCTGTGTAATAGCATTCGATAAATTCCTACACGGTGACGTTTGCAACAAACTTATCAATGAATTTCTTTAGTTCGGAATTCCATTGTTTCATCATTTAACATTATTTGAAATCCCTGAAAGAACTAGGTAATAAAAAAAAGAATTAAAAATGAATAGCTGAAAATATAAATTATATTAAGCAAAAAACCTGAAATGAAATGATAGTGAAATAAAATACAAAGAAAAATAGAACAATTGAACAAAAATAATAAAAATAAAATAAAAAGTTAAGAGATTCCAAGCCATGTTACTTCACGACGTATCGATTGTTAATATCCATAATCGTCTTCGGGTGATGACTGGACTAATTCCTCCAAGAGATGACTAGTGGGAGATGACCGTTTGGCGGGAGTTGGCCATTTTTCGCTTGATGGGTTTCCATATGTTGCGTATCTCTACGCTAGCTTGGCTGAATACATTGTTGGACAACATGTATGCGGCTTCTTTGAATTTCCTCCGAAACCAATGTTTTCCCCTGAGTATGATCTTATGATCTCAGCTTGGGACCACTCGATGTTATGTTGATGGGTCCAAACATGCTATTCCTGATTTGCTGGTTTTTCTTCGCTGTGTGTGTTTCTTGTGCTCGGCAATGCGAACATTCCTCTTAGTTTCACCGATATAGGATTTTCCGCACTTACAGGGTATCCGATAATTGCAATTCTTGGAATCGCAGTCCGCGTTTTATGGCATGGTTTTCGTGAAGCTGCTACGAATAGTGCTTCCGGATCTGAAGCAGGTTCTGATGTACTTGGATCCAATTCTTCTTAACCTTTTCGATAATTCTCTGATGTAGGGAAGCACAAGCACTGGTTGTGACGGCTTCTTTTCTTCGCGATGCTCCTGCTGTTTTATATGATATCAGACAATAGAAGTCCGAACTAATGAAATTCTTCATGAAACATTGTCAATCACCTTCAAACAAACTTATCAATAGTTTCAGATAGGTCACTTATATTTTCAGATAATAGCAGAAACTCAGGAAGCTAAACGAGTATTGGCAGACATCGAAGAAAGGCATCAGCAGTTACTGAAAATAGAACAAATGCTGATTGAAGTTAGAGATTTATTTCTTCAAATGGCCATTCTTGTGGATGCCCAAGTACGTATCCAATATAAACCCGAAAAGAATAAAGATTTCTGTTGAATGTTATTTTTAATATCTCTGTTTATAATTGAAAAAACATTATATATTATTTTTGCAGCAAGAATTAGTTGACAGAGTTGAATATCAAGCACAACTAGCTAAAGAATTTGTTGGAAAAACACCTGGAATATTGAGGGATGGTCTGAACAAGAAGATTAAATACTTTAAAGTAACTAACTACGTTCACTTTGAGGGTATTACTCTACTTGAAATTTGATAGCATTTGATTGTAATGATCCGCCTTTCCTACCTCATTTCAGGAGACTTCTAATGGATCGGAAAAATTATTAAGAAAACTCTGAACTATTGAAATATCTGTATTTTTTACTCTGGGCTACTTTGAGAATCGAATATTTATGCAACATTTTCAATTCAAATTCCTAATATGTCACTTGTTATCAATGCCAATTATCATTAACAAACCGTATTTGCTCAAGGATATCAGTTTTTTCTGTGTGGTTCTATTGAGCCTATTTATATATTCTCTTAGGATAGATTTGGGTGATTCAATCCAAGTCCGACAACTAGATTTATCTCCAGAAAATTGGTTCATGTGCTATCAGATCAAGTAGATCACTCTGTTCTTTAACTTATGAGTTGCAACATCTATTTATTTAATACATTTTTCATTTCAGTGCAAGATTTACTGTGGAATTGCAATTGCTGTGCTGATAGTCATAATTCTGATACTTCTATTCAAATAGTTCGAAATCATTACTTTTGTTGTATTCAACTTGTTGTTCCTTTCATAATAACAACGTTCGAATTAAAATATTTTCAAATTCACCTACTCATCAATAGATCTTTTTTATATTGTGGATGTTTGAGTATACCTAGAGTGAGAACATTGTCAGTCATCTCCATTACTATGAGAGAGAGGATATTGGCAGATCAAGATCTTCAGATGATGTGGTGCTGCAGGTTTTTCCGGGTTTTCCTGCAGCTAAAAAAGCAAATGCGCAACTGGAATCAATGAAGTCGCCCCTTAGCGCCAATTAATTTTTGTTGTTGTTTTATAATTTCATGATTTATATTTTAGATTGATTATTATCAGTAATTCATTACCTTTTCAACAGACAAACAAAAGTAAAATGGATATTTTCGAAAAGATATTATCGTTGGAAATATACAGGAGGAAGTCAATTTGAAAAAAAATCCATACTAATGGTAATTTGAAAAATATGGAGGAACATTTCCACTTTATTTGCAAAAAAACAAATTAATTCAAGCCCTCGTAGTTCAATCCCCAATGCAGGGTAGATGTAAAATTGAAGAAGAATAAAACCTCGCTTGCAATCAGATTTCAGGTTATCATTGAAATTAAAATTATCACATTGAATTTCCGTTCATTAGAAATGGTCAAAGTGAAACATTACCTCCAACAAATTTTAATCAAAAGGCAACTGAAAGGTAGATTTTTTTTTCTGATGGGACTGCACAGGACTTTATTTTTGGTTTCTTCTTTCAAGAGATTCTCAAAGTACTGAATCAATTATTTTTTTGATATATTACTTTATATTTAAACACAATCATGAAATACAAATCAATTCAGAGAATTGAGTTAAAAAAAAAACTTCTGAAGAAAAAAAAGCAATCAAGTTCAAAATTAACTCTTAACTAGTATCTCCTGAAAATATATCTCGTTTTAATTTACATCCAAATCGTAATGTAAGTTACAGATATGTTCTTGATTAAGTGGCAAAGTTCTCCGAAACAGATTTGGTGAAAATACAAAAAGAAGTGAGCTACGAGTATTGAATAAAGAATCGCAAATTGGAGTTTTTTGAATATTTGTTGCGAGCTCATCAGCTCCATATAAACAGACGAGAATGCCACGCGAGACTAAGAAAGTTACTGAAAATATATAATTTCAATTTCATGAAATGTGACAGTGGATTTGATGGAAGTATACAATTTCATGTAACCAGATCTAACCCACTCGACATCATCCTTGATTTTATACTAAGTTGTCATAATTTTCGAGGTTTTTACAATGACCATAAAAAGTAAAGATATGGCAAGTTTTCTTGGAAATGCTTGAAGAGACTATCTATCCTCCAAACACTCCCGAAATAGGAGCCCAAACTGGTGCAAAAGGTAATTTAGATATACAAAAGCATTTCATTAGTTCGGACTTCCATTGTCTAATATTTGAAATCCCTTAAAGAATAAAAAAAACTAGAAAAGGATAGCTGAAAATAACAATTATATCAAGCAAAAAAGCACTGAAATGAAATTTCGGCGAAATAAAATACAAGTAAAAATAAAACAATTGAACAAAAAATTAAAAAAATTAAGATATTCCAAGCCAAGTTACTGTTAATATCCACAATCGTCTTCGGGTCATGACTGAACTAATTCCTCTGAGAGATGAATATTAATGGGTCATTCGAGTACATTCACGTATCTCCGCTTTCCTCTTTCCGCTCCACCGATTTAGCGGGAGATCACCGTTTGGCGGGAGTTGACCTTTTTTCGCTTGATTATGGGTTTCCCATATGTTGTCGTCAACGTATCTCAACCAGACTCGGGGTTTCTTCTGGGCTTCTTCAATGGCCAGAGTTTCAAACCACTACATATATATATTGGCTTGGTGAGTGCGGAAAATCTTATATCAGGGAAACTAAAATGCCATTGGAAGTTCGCATTGCCGAGCTCAAGAAACACACACAGCGAGAAGAAATATGCAAATCAGGAATATCAGAGCATGTTTAGACCCATCAAGATGACATCGAGTGGTCCCAAGCTCAGATCATACACAGGGAGGAACATTGGTTTCGGAGGATATTCAAAGAAGCCGCATACATGTTGTCAAACAATGCATTCAGCCAAGCTAGCGTAGAGATACGCAACATATGGAAACCCATAATCAAGCGGAAAATGGCCAAACCCTGCCAAACGATCATCTCCCGCCAAACCGGTGAAGTGGAAAGAGGAAAGCGGAGATAAATGAAAGTATTTGAATGACCCATAAATAGTCATCTCTCGGAGGAATTAGTCCACTCATCACCCGAA